GTAATACTTAGTCTGAGTTCCCACCTGAACTGCTGGTTTGAAAATGTAAGTGCTGATATCTGGATCCTGAACAAACTGAAAATCATATAAACAATTACTAAATACTATGCTCAGGCTGATAAAATAATTGTTTAATATGTTAAGATGCTCTACTGGACTTAAACATAATATTTGGACTTAACCGGTATAACTAGAACTGATAAACTTGGAACTGAACTGACATGAATTTATTAAACTGGTCTGGACTCGGAATTTAACTGAAAATGGGACTGAAATCATGAACTGGGACTGAAAATAATAACTTATGGTCAAAACCGGTCTAATTTGGTTGAACCGGGTCTGAACCGGTCTGACCGATCCGCCGGCCTGCTAGGACCGGAAGGTCAGCGGCTGACTCGGCCCACTGCCCTTGCTGCGGCCATGGGCACGGTTACTGGCGTTCCGAGTGCGGTACGGCCACTTGCAGGGCCTGCCCTGGCCACGGTCGAGGTGCTGCGTGCACCTGGCCTTGGCTGAACATGATCTAGGTCCGTCGGGCGTGAACTGGCACTGCCGAACGCTACGTGCGTCGGCTGCCGCGTAACTGGGCACAGTCGGGTGTTACGCACACCGCGACGTGCTGCTGAGCTTATAAACGCGCGCACAAACGCTAGCTGAACAGGACTGGCGCTGTGCGGGCCACTGACATGCGATACTGCATGCTGGCGTGCGTTACCGCACGCTGGCGTGCATGACTGGGTGTTGGCGTGCGCACACGCATCGCCAACAGTCACCTGTTGCGTGTACTGGCCCTACGTGGCGCTATACCGCGCATCACATGCGTACCCGCACACCCGCCGGTACGCTGCAGCCGCTACGTGCGGACAGCGTAAATACGGCCGACCCTCGTCGGCCGTCCGGCAACTTCCTCCGGCAATACCAACATGATTTCACATATTTAAACATAACATGACTATACTTACTGATTTTAACCTAAAATTCATGAACTTCACTTGATAGACTCGCATAGTGTCGAGGCGTGCGTACCATACGCACATGTTTGGCGTCATGCCAACTTCCTCGAATAAACTTAAACTTTTATCGAACAGCCTCAAGAAACTGATCATCATGTACTATTTAAAGACTATTGAGACAAGGATTACTCGAACAATTCTGATCATATTGAAAGATAACACGAGAGGGCATACAACGGCCCGTGGGCGTGCACTACGTGTGCAGTCCACATCCATAGGCCCATTCATGAACTAAACTTCAACTTGTCTCGACCTATCTTTTAAAACTGATCACATAATGACCCAAAATGATTAAATAAGCATGAATTGCACGGTGTTATCCAAACGGAACTAAACATCACTCGGTGTGAGTTAAAATAACACAAACCGAGTACTCTTCGCATTTTCTCATAAATTTCTTAACATGAGTTGAATAATTTGAACTTAACATGATATTATTAACATGAAAAGAAGCTGAAGATGAGGTTACCTCCTCAAATGTTTGGAGAATTTCACAAGAACGGGCATGACTTTCCTTCCCGTGCTTGCGTGCGTATGCGTTGCTTACTTAGTGCGTGTGTTTAGGATTAATATAAACTTAGTGTTTGCTGAGCTTTGTAGCTTAAGTAATAAGCTACAAATGT